AACCTGAAGCAAATACTGGTTTTAACTTGGAGTAAATGCTGGTTTTAATCTGAACTAAATACTGGTTTCAACCATGATTTTAATCTGGTGTAAATACTGGTTTTCACCTGCAGTAAATGCTGGTTTAACCTGGAGTAAATTCTGGTTTTCACCTGGAGTAAATATTTGTTTCAACCTGACTAAATACTGGTTTTCACCTGGACTATATACTGGTTTAACCTGGAGTAACCATAGTTTTGACAAGGATGAACTAGTAGTTATAACCTAGACTAAATACTGGTTTTAACTTGGAGTTAATACCATGACCTGAGAACTATTTACATACCCTGGTCTAAACCCGTGAATTCATTCACCTGTTCTGTGTTCTATCTGCTCCTGTATCTGAAGATAGGGCGGAGTTTATTTGAGAGATTGTGCTCCGCCCTGGAACCTCTCCAATCTGATTACTCCGCCATGGAACACCTCCCAAAACATTTCTCCGCCCAAGAACACTTTCCAAGTCAATTCTCCGCCCTTGAAATAGGTAAATTAATTTTAATTTTTGTTTTTATCCTTCTTATTCCCAATTATAAGATTTCACATCCATGGTTACCCACAATTGATGTGACCTACTGAGTTTATAAACTTTTCTTTTGCAAGCAGCATTTCCCGCAGTTGTTCACCAGTTTCCTTTTTACTGAATTATTTAATATATTATTAAAGGACTAGCTATACAATACAGACGTTACAAATCTCAACACTAATATTGCTAATTTCAAAGAGTTTTAGATCGTCATCAAAATCTCCTCTTTTGAAACACTGAATATAGAGAAATGTAAAAAATATATATTTTGTTATGAAAATGTCAAATTAAGGAAAACTACAGAGTAATAATCCAATAAGCGAAAAGTAGAAGTATTTTCTAATAGTTTTATACCTGCTACCGAAGTACCCAAAGATGGATTCAAACTGACAAATATGAAATATTATTTTCTTTTTTTATGAAATTTCATTTAAGAACAGATATATTGTGAGAAAACTAAAATTCAAATCAAAACTCTGGCATGAATATTTTATCTGAATTTAGATCAAACTCTGGATATTTTGAAGAAAGATGATCTTTGCAGCAAGTTGACATTTTAATGTATTATTGAAATAAGTATTTTTCCAACTTTTGATCAAAATTATGACACTATTGAATCACTGATATTTACATTGCAAACTTGAAAACAGGGTGGCAATGTTAGATTGCAACCATAGATAAATAAATAAACATGGATAGCATATGTACGCAAAATCACCAAGAACTCATACTTCTAGGGGTCAAAGTGTACTTCAATGATGTTTTAATGGATTTCATAGAATAGAGTGTAAAATAACTCCTAGAATGGAACTATTTGAACAACAATATTTCACTGAGCAGTATATCATATTGACGAGAACTGAAGAAGGACATGAGAAGGACTAAACTAACTTAAATTTCTCTCTACAGAATTTATGTACACCACAAGTACTCAATGACATAAGAACAGCCAATGTTCACAACCGACCTAGTTAATCTATATAATAGAAATATCTTTAAAACATCTCTGTACATTTATATTTTTCAAGATGAAAAATGTCGTCTTATGTGCAATCTATCTTTATCTATGATTGCAACCCTTGGGATGCAATCTTATTGACTGCGAATTTTTCTGCCAAGAAGTTGCGGATTAACAACCCTGAAAACATTAATTAGATTTGATTTATGAACCCAAAAATATGTGTTTTAAAACCTGAAGGTTGATTTTTATGTAAATTAAAATGTTAAATTTTGGTTAGAAGTGGAAGAATCTCCATAAATTTTGTTTAATTAAAGGTTGAAAAAATTACATATCTCTTCATTTATATGAGGCAACAAGGACTTAATAAATATAGGAGGGTATATTACCTTGCTGGGTCATAAAGCATCCCACGCTACGCTTGTGACGCTTTAGGACCCAGCAAGGTCTTGGGAAGACTTGACAATGTAATATTCCTCCCATTTTTATTGCAACCCTGTAATAAATAGAGATAAATAGTTAATTTTACTGAAAACTGAATTTTAAAGACTTGTCGTATTTTGAAAAATAGAGCAAAAAAAAGAGCAATAAATTCCTGGGACAGTAAAATTGTTAACAAAATAGAAGCACTGCAAGAATGAGAAAAAAGGAACTGAAATGTTGCCAACTTAAATTTTTTCATCCCAATTTCCTTTCAATCTGATTGTGTAAACCTTTGATATTAATTAAAATATAATTAAAAATATCAAAAGTTTACGACATCTGGTTGTAAAGATATAGGGATTAAAAAATTAAAGTTTGTGACTTAAATTTTCCTTTATTATCTGATAAAATTATGAAAATTAAAACTTTTAAAGATCTGCAAATTTATTCCGATATAATTTTTATGGTTTATTTAAATTAGTTTATTCAATTGTAGCCATTGTTATCCAAATAAAGTAAAACAAATATCCATAAACTAGGCTTTCAGGGAGCTTCGTGCCCATCTTCTATTTCAATTGTGAACATTTTCTCTTTGTATACATTGTAAAGCTGAAACAAAAAACGTAACAAAATTTCGTGGATTTTTTAAAATTTAATTTTATGGAAATCGAATTTTGTTTGACGCTATTTTTTTATTTTCCCTGGGACCGCGTGAGGTTCAAAAAAAATTGGACCGGATCGGTTTGACGTTTATTGGCTACAAACAAACAAACAAACATGATACAATTAAAAACAAACACAATTTTTTCCAGGAGAAGACAAAAATTCAAAGATTTGAAGAAAACAACTTTTTATGCCTTAAGCTGTTGTTGTTGCTGTTGGTGTTGCAGGTGGTGTTACTGTTGCTGTTGATTGTGTTGCTGTGAACAGCTGTTGTTTGTGTCGCAGGGGAACTGTAGAAACAGTATCAAATTTTAGTTTTTTCTAATGTAAAATTGTCCCATTCTAATCTCCTACTGATAATTTTCAAAATATAAAAAAAAAATATGAAGAAAAACAAAACCCAAAAACCAATATTAAAAGAAAGCAAACATTGAAGGAATTCGTAGACCTTCGATATTTCACACTATTAATTCTGTAAAATCAAATAATCTAAGTTTAAACGACTAGGTTGTGATATAAATATAGGAATTAGAAAATTTGTGGCAAAGAATCATTTCCTTCATAAAAAGTTTGAATTTCCGGATTAAAACTTTTTCCATTTTTAAGTCGGAAAACACTTTCTAAGTCCTAGTTCTAGTCCTAGTTATAGTCCAAGTTCTGGTCCTAGTTCTAGTCCTAGTTCTAGTCCTAGTTCTAGTCCTAGTTCTAGTTCTAGTCTTGGTCATAGTCATGTCTAGCCCTAAATCTAATCTTAGTTCTATTCCTAGTCGGAATCCTAGTCCTAGTCCTATTATTATTCCTATTCCTAGTCCTAGTCTTATTCTTAATTCTAGTCCTAATCCTAGTCCTAGTCCTAGTGATAGTTATAGTCCTTATCCTATTTCCAGTCCTTATCCTAGTCCTAGTTTTAATCCTAGTCCTAGTCCTAGTCCTCATACTAGTCCTAGTTCTAGTTCTAGTCTTGGTCAAAGTCATAGTTCTAGTCCTAGTCCTCATACTTGTCCTAGTTCTAGTTCTAGTCTTGGTCATAGTCATAGTCCTAGTCCTAGTCCTCATACTAGTCCTAGTCCTAGTTCTAGTCTTGGTCATAGTCATAGTTATAGTCCTAAATCTAGTCTTAGTTCGAGTCCTAGTCCTAATCTAAGTCCTAGTCCTAGTCTTAGTCTTATTATTAATCCTAGTCCTAGTCCTTGTCCTATTCCTATTCCTAATCCCTGTCCTTGTCCTAGTCCTACTTCTGCCCTGGTCCTAATTTCAGTCCTATTCCTAGTTTTAATCTTACCTTGTTTGATTATATTTGTCTGGTATTCTCAGAGCTCCCGGATTATAATCATAACTCATCCTGGAATATTTCTAGATCAATCGAACTGAAGCAAGATACTCCATGACAAGACAATAATACCTTATAATCGTCTCTTAGTTCCGTTTTCCTGAATCCATAACTTAGTTTTCACTTCTTATTTTTCAACCTTACGAAACTAAGATGCTGTACTCTTCAGGCCAAGAGATAAGAAGATAAAAGCTGTATCACTTGAAGATAAGAATAAAAACTAAGTATACTTTGTTTTTAAGATTTTAATAGTCGCTCAACTCTGGGGGGGGGGGGGGTTTTTTACTTACTATTAGTTTGTTTTAAAAACATTTTGTTCCCCCCCCCCTCACCCCCAAATCTCGCGTTCAATCTATTTAATATCCGAAATATGACAAACCACAAGTTTTTATGAAGAATATAAAGTTAAACAGACTGTGAAAGTAGTAGAGTTTCTCCCCCCCCTTCCTCACTTTTTGCTTGATTCTACCCCTTTCCTTCAGCCTTTTTGCTTCCTTTCAAACCATAATTCCCCCCCTTAGTTTTCCACATTTTTCTCTTCTAAATTCCTCAGGCTTTTAAAAATGCAATGTTAAATTTTTAGAAAATCAAGGACTCACATATAAATCCCAAGATACAGTGTCCGAATTTAATGAATTCGAGCCGCGTCTTAAATCCACCAAAAACCGGTTTCAATTGAATGCCGGCTTAAATCTTAAAACAATGAATAAGATTTTAAGTGGAACCAACCATATTTGAGCCGTTGCTTAAATTTAAGCCGTGAATAAAATTCTTTAAATTCGGCCTCAGGGCTATCCACGAAGGATGAGACTTTACAGACGACTGTTGTAAATCGTTGTAACTCGGGCATTGCCATATTTGTATGGTGGGTTACTCTTGCTTACTTTCCCTTTAAGGCTTTTAAATCAAAAATATAAAACGATCACAATTTATCCTAAAGCAATAAATAAAAAATAATAAAATACTATTTTTGTTTACTTTTAATTAAATATATCAACCATTTATTTATTTCTTTGTCGCATTTTCCTTGACAAAAAATTAAAACAATTACTATACAGTAATTACCAGAAAACTGTGGTATAGAAAGTCGACTTTTAGACTCAAGTTATGACTTTAAAAAGTCTAATGAACATGAGGTACATCAATTGAGTGTAAATAGACCCATTTCATTTAGTAAGTGATCTAATAACCTACTGAGAAGGCTATTTGCTATTTAAATGTCGTCTTCTTATTCTACAGTTTTCTGGTTTTCTGTATTACATATTAATGTCGTCTTCTTATTCTACAGTTTTCTGGTGTTCTGTACTACATATTAATGACGTCATCGGTTCTCCAATTCATCTCCTAAAAAATCCAGAGTTTGGATATTTAGAATTAGTATTTTATTCACACATTTGTATTTTAAGGTAAAAGTGACGACAACAACTGCTGTAGATGGAAATTTTGCCGTTTTAAAAATTTAATTTTTAATTCCCTGAAACATTTTAGTAACGTTTTTATATTAAAAAATAATTAATATTCGATATTTTGTGTTTTCAGAAGTATGTATTTTTATACCTTTCTCATCTACAATATAATATAATAATACAATAATTTGTTTCGACAAATATCTATAATTTTTTTTACAAATCGGTCGATTGTGAAGGTTGATTCATAATTCAATCTAAAGGGAGTGACTATCTAGGTATCTTAGTCGAACTAAGAGTGTGGCATGCTATAAAATAAAATATCAGGATTAATTTGATACCTTTATAACATTTTTGCGTTCTAAAATTGCTACATAATTAGGACCGAAAACTTGTTCTTTAACATTCTAAATGTTTGCTCGATTTCTAAAAATAATTTATTATCCCGGACCGTATTTAATTGATTTGAGATACATGGCTAAACTACCTACTGCCGGTTCAATTTTAAACGACCGATTCAAAGTTAAAGAGTCAGGAAGTATTTGAAACGGTGGTTTAAATTTGAACTTGTGCGCGCGGGTATGCATTTCTGCAACCCCTCAGATTTATTAAATTCTGTTCCTGGACGTAAAACGTAATAAAAAGTTTAGAAACAGATTATTAAATTAATTAAAAAGTTAAACTTCGAAGAAATCTTCGAATATACAATAAGGAATTCAAGACAATAATGATTGATGATAAAGATAAAATTTAACTACCATTGATTCATTGATAACTTCTTTTGATAAATAGTTTCTTAAAAGCAAATTAGTCAATAGAAGAATTTTTGTTTCGTTGTTAAAAGATTTAAAACATTGTCTCTTGTGAGCAAAACTTTATATTTAGCATTGTCCAGCATCGTGATTTTTCGGTCTTGTAAATCAATTATAGAACGTTAACAGAGCTGGGAACCATTGTGTGTTTGTGTTACCATGCAGAGTAACAAATGATCGAGAAACCTTGATCTCGATATCCGGCCATAAAACCAGAGTTCCCAGCTCAAATTTATAGGTGTCAAATAAATTCTGTGTCCGAAATTAATGAATTTGAGCCACGTCTTAAATCCCCCAAAAAACCGGTTTCAATTGAGCCTCGGCTTAAATCTTGAAACATTGAGTACAATTTTAAGTGAAACCAACCATATTTGAGCAGCGGCTATTTTATTTCACAATACGCACTCTCAGTTAAACACCCATACATAGCAATTCGCTCCATTTCGGCTTTAAAAAATAAAAATCTATTAAATAATAATTACATTTTGTAATCTCTAACCTTTCTCGTACAAATTGGAATTGTAGTAAATTAATAATAAGAAAATAGAAACATTAAAATGTCCGTACAATTCTCACTGTAAATCTTTAAATTACAATTAAACTTTAAAAGTAGATTTTTAATATCCCAAGATAATTATCTTACTTAACGTTTTCATTTAAATATTTAATGAGACATGTCAAGAGGCTGCAAAATATATTTACTAGATTTTTACACTTCAGTTCATCCAATTTATTTTTCCAGAGTACACAAGTAAATACGGCTAAATTATGAATAGGGTTGAATAGTAAACACATCTATTATGAATAGGGTTGAAAAGTAAATACATTTACTATGAATAGGGTTGAAAAGTAAACACATCTACTATGAATAGGGTTGAAAAGTAAACACATCTACTATGAATAGGGTTAAAAAGCAAATACATCTACTATGAATAGGGTTGAAAAGTAAATACATCTATTATGAATAGGGTTGAATAGTAAACACATCTAATATGAATAGGGTTGAATAGTAAATACATCTACTATGAATAGGGTTGAAAAGTAAACACATCTACTATGAATAGGGTTGAAAAGTAAACACATCTACTATGAATAGGGTTGAAAAGTAAATACATCTACTATGAATAGGGTTGAATAGTAAATACATCTACTATGAAAAGGGTTGAATAGTAAATACATCTACTATGAATAGGGTTTAAAAGTAAATACATCTACTATGAATAGGGTTGAAAAGTAAATACATCTACTATGAATAGGGTTGAAAAGTAAATACATCTACTATGAATAGGGTTGAAAAGTAAATACATCTACTATGGACAGGGTTAAAAAGCAAATACATCGGTAGAAAAGCAAGAACATCTACTATGAATAGGGTTGAAAAGCAAATACATCTACTATGGACAAGGTAGAAAAGCAAATACATCTACTATGGACAAGGTAGAAAAGCAAATACATCTACTATGGAAAGCATTTTTTTTTCCAGAGCTAGACTGGCACTGATCTTTCTAGCCGGTGTTCTGAAAAAAATAAGAAATTTATTTCATTTAGATTTTTTATGAACATTTAAAATTTTTGCTTTACTGAATTATATTAAGTAAACGGGGGGGGGGCAGGAGGGGGTATACCTTGCCTTAGATTGTGAAGTAAGGGTGGGGGGTACCTTGTTGTTGATTGAGGTGGAGGCTGTTGTTGTGAATTCCAACGATATAGAATTGCAAGACGAGAACAAAGACGACCTCCAGGGGTCAGAGCTGAAATTGCGTTTAAAATTTAATTCAATATTTCCTGAAGAAGGGGCTGTAGGCATAATTTTAAAGTGACCTTATTTCTCTAGACTAGCATGTTCGATTCACACCAGTGCTCTTTATACATTTTCTTGTGAACAATAAATGAAAATTTTAAACTGTGGAAATTTCCAGATTATAACACTTTTAACTTGGTAAACTATGATATTTTGCTCATTGTTACGCAGACGAAGGTATAAAGGATTCCGTTGTGAATCGAACATGTCACTCCATAAACTGTATAACTACTTATCATGTATAATTACCTATCGGTGGATCACTGTTGGGTAGATTTACCATTGATATTATCAGTATCTAGATATATAGTTCATCAGTACTATTATTTTCATAGATACCATTGATATTATCAGTATCTAGATTTATAGTTCATCAGTACTATTATTTTTTTATATTTACCATTGATATTATTAGTATCTAGATATATAGTTCATCAGTACTATTATTTTTATATATTTACCATTGATATTATCAGTATCTAGATATATAGTTCATCAGTACTATCATTTTTATAGATACCATTAATATTATCGGTATAGTTCATCAGTACTATTATTTTTATATATTTACCATTGATATTATCAGTATCTAGATATATAGTTCATCAGTACTATCATTTTTATAGATACCATTAATATTATCGGTATCTAGATATATAGTTCATTAGAACTAATATTTTTATATATTTACCATTGATATTATCAGTATCTAGATTTATAGATCATCAGTACTATTATTTTAATATATTTAATATATTTACCATTGATATTATCAGTATATAGATATATAGTTCATCAGTACTATTAGTTTTATCTTATTAGACCTAATTTTGTTCTGCTAGGAATTCTGGGCCGTATTTGGGTAATGTACTTTTTGATAGGATTTGAGTTCAAATATTTTCTCCGACTTTGTCAGTTTTTAGGGATTCTCGTCTTAATATTAACTCCTTTTTTAGATATTTAATTCACAACTTAACAGTGCTTTTTAATCCTTTGTCAGTTTTTAGGGATTCTCGTCTTAATATTAACTCCTTTTTTAGATATATAATTCACAACTTAACAGTGCTTTTTAATCCTTTCTCAGTTTTTAGGGATTCTCGTCTTAATATTAATTCCTTTTTTAGATATTTAATTCACAACTTAACAGTGCTTTTTAATCCTTTCTATAGATATATATATATATATTTTAATCAAGATGACCCAGTTTTTTTATCTTGAAATGTGAAAAATTCTGTCAATCTTCTTCCTTACCATAGCAAGTATCAGAAAGAAAAAACATGATTTTTTCTGAGACAAAAATTTACAGGGCGCCGTTTTGAATCTAAGATTTAATTCTTTAAATAAAGATTTATTTGAAGTAATGTTGGCTGTCCCTTTTAGAATAAAGTTTTCCTGTAATTATCTATATATTTCTATTAAACTTATTTCCATTATTGGCTGGGTAACCTGGAATCAATAATACTATCTGTAAACACATGACAGCCAAGAACAGTTTACGCCCAATCTATCACACATTTATACATTCACACACACACATATCTGTATATCACACATATATGCATTTACACACAAATATCTTTATATTCATCTAATACTAGTCATAACTAATGAATTGTTATATCTTTGTGTCAGAAAAGTGTTGTTTAATTGCTGGAAGAAATGCAAACTATATAAAAGTGTTTGTATTCCTTCCAGAAACTGCAGTACAGTATTTTGTAAGCAAAATATATAGGTTTTAGTATCCAGGTATATTTCATTAGTCTGGCTTTTTGTTCTTTTATACTTTTTATATCTTTGATATTCCAGGATATGAAGATTTTAAGCTAAAAATGTTATTTTTAGCTCTTCAAAATTTACTTTGTTACAATGAATTTCTGTTCGATTAAATCTTGATCTTTTAGTTGTTAATTTTAGTTAAAGGTTGATGAATTGTTCCTTAGTAGTTGGTTGGTTTTCGCACTCTAAAATTACAGTGTCTTCATATCTGTAAAATAGATTTATATCAATTTTATTGAATTGTAAAATGTACTGGGAAGTGTTGACCCAGATCAATGATTAAAGGGACTGTAAGCTGAAAGCGAATCACTTTAGCTCTTGATCGTGATCCATGAAAGTTATATCTGATGTTCCTGTCTAGAGAAATTGGTATAAAATTGTAACTTAGGTTTTCTCCAATTATCATTTTATAATTTTTATTTTTATTTTTAATAGATATAATTGATAAAATTATTTATAAGTCCGTATTACGTCACAAAAACTCCCGCCAATGAGAGTGCAGTATACTGGTCATGTGATGCAGACAGAGACAAGTGACCAGTATACTGCACTACCATTTCCGGGAGTTCTTGTAAAGCAATACGGACTTTAAAATAATATTATCAATTATATCTTTAAAAAATAGAAATGAAAAAACCTAATGGGATATCTTCGCTTTCAGATTGGTTGGGTATTTGCTGAATATGATCTTTTTAAACGAACTATTTCTATAAAAAATTGTACATGAATTTTCGTATAAATTTGACACAGTTTTATATCAATTTCTCGAGACAGGAACACCAGACATGACTTTAATGGGTCGAGAGATAAAAAGATTAGCTTTCAGCCCATACCCCCTTTCATTTTTTCGTTACAGTTCCATTAAATTATTTTGCCCAAAAGTGTTAAAAATTTATAAAAATATATTTGCTAATACAAAGGAAATGAATACTCGCCTCAAACTGTAATTTTCTAATTCATGTTTATAGTGTAAACCATTAATACTACAAAATGGGACTAAATGATCAGAATTCGATTAGGCACCGACCAAAGATATATTGATTAAGATGAAAGTTTCAGGCGCGTAAAAAATCTATTTTTCCAAAAAAAAATTATAAAGCGCTGCACAAGCAAAACTTCCACATGGACAAATTGTTCCAAGAACGTCAAAATTTGGATCATAGATTAATTAACAATAACAGATAAAACACTAAATGTGTCTTTTCAAGATTTAAGGGTTTTTCGTTCATAATAATCCTAAGGCAGAAGTCAAAAGTAGTTCCGCACAGTCAGAATTGAATTACAATCCAGAGAGAAAGCATGCACGTAACTCCTTTTAGCCTCAGGGTTATTGTGAACGAAAACCCCCTAAATCTTGAAAAAACGAAATCTAGTGTTCTATCTGTTATCATTTATTAATCTTTAATTTGGATAAACATATTCATACCTTCCACAGTATAAAAGAGAGGAAGCCAGTAATCTAGGTAATCTTTCACGATGTAGAGGAAACAGAAGGGATAGCAGATACTAAATAGTAATATATACAGAGCCTAAAACTTTTATGCGAAAACGCGCTAATCTATAGCGCTCAATCTCGATATTCACTGTCAAAACTTTGAAATTTCCAGATGATCTGCGTGATCTCTAAATTGTATGTATCCCCTTGAGTTACCATCAAGGACTAGCTTGATCAAGGGATAGCAGAGCACTTTTTTTATTTTTTGGTTTTTAAGGACCCATTTTCAAGGGAATTTTCATAAAAGGTCGCATAAATTTCCGCATTTTACTCAAAAACCCTGAATTGCCTGGGATCCGATCAACTCCAAAACCCTGAGAGCAGCCACCCCTCCCTCAATCAAGGGATATCAAAAATGAATTAATCTAATTCTTCGGATAACAAAAGATATGGATTACTGCTTAATTCAGGGATTTACGACAAAAAAAGTTTTGAACTCAGGTTTAATATTAAATATATATTATTTCAGCTTGAAAACTACCTCTGTATCTAAATCTGTTGGCATTTCTTCCTCCCAAATCTTTGATATTGTCCAGTTCAATGCAGATTTATCCAGTTCGCTAAACATATATATCCATTTCAATGCAGATATATCCAGTTCACTAAACATATATATATATATATATATCTAGTTTAATGCAGATATATCCAGTTCACTAAACATATATATCCAGTTCAATGCAGATATATCCAGTTCTCTAAATATCTATATCCAGTTTTATGCAGATATATCCAGTTCACTAAATATATATCTAGTTCAATGCAGATATATCCAGTTCAATGCAGACATATCCAGTTCACTAAATATTTATATCCAGTTCACTAAATATATATATCCAGTTCAATGCAAATATATCCAGTTCACTAAATATATATATCCAGTTCAATGCAGATATATCCAGTGCATATTTATACTTGGCTTAAAGGTTCGATTTTATTATACTTTTCAAATTTGGAGAATGTAAAAACATAAGAAAAAATATTTTGAAATTTGATAGACTTTGCTGATGTTTGTTAGGCCTCGATCTTGAAAATCAGAAAAGCTAGAATATTATTAAACAGAAAAGACGGAAAAGACAGAATACTTTCTGTATATAATTCTTGCAAAGAAATTTTCAAAGAAAGATTGTTTATTTTTAACAACGAGAAAAGTGAACCCTTTCTTATAAGTATGATTACTGGTTTTGTAGTTTTGTTCTTCCTTTTCGGAAGCTTAACACTAAGTTAGTTTTTACTGTTCGTTTTATTTAAAACCTGTATACTGTAAAGTAAATGTTAAGTACTTAAAGGGACTGTAAAGTAAATGTTAAGTACTTAAAGGGACTGTAAAGGAAAAATAAAAGGGGGTATAGGCTGAAAGCTAATCACTTTAGCTCTTGATCGTGACCCCTGCAAGTTTTATTTGATGTTCCTGTCTCGAGAAATTAATATAAAACTGTGTTAAAATTATACGAAAGTTCATTTATGTAAAATTTAGAAAATCTTAAACTTAAATCACATGACCAGAACTATCACCAATGGCAGAACAGTATACTGGTCACTTGTCTCCGCCTGTATCACGTGACCACTTTACTGCACTGCCATTGGTGGAATTTCTGGTCAAGCAATACGGACGTATAAATGATATTATGAATTAAATCTATAAAAAATAGAAATAACAAATATAAAATTAGAATTGGAGTAAACCTAAGTTACAATTAGTTTTCTCTGGTATATAAACGTTTTCAGATTGGTTGCATATTTGGTGAATTTGATCTATCTAAACCCACAACTTTTATACAAAATTGTATATATATTAATTTTCGTATATATTTGACAAAGTTGTAAATCAATTTCTCGAGATAGGAACATCAGATAACTTTCATGGGTCGCGATCTAGAGCTAAAGTGATTAGCTTTCAGCCTATACCCCCTTTCATTTTTCCTTTACAGTCCCTTTAAAGAAAAATTTGTCATGCGGACATCTATAGGATATGTATCTTTAAGAACTAGAATCAGTTATGTTCCTTCGTCCAAAAGAATTGAGTCTTACCCACAAACTCTGATTTTCTAATCCCTATATTTTTACATCCCAACCGCGTAGACCTGAGATATTTTAAACTATACATTCTGTGAGATCAAATATTTTAAGTTGGAAAAATCAAATGTTTACACCATCAGTTGCAAAGATTTAGAGATTTAAGTTTGTGGCAAACATTCAATTCCTGCAAGCGCATTGTACGCTTTTTCAAGTACTTGAACAATCCCGTTATTGTAGAATTCTGTGTACAGCAAATTAAAATTTACCAGTTTTCATTATTTTGTAGATGAGAATTCTAATCCAGTTTATTTTTATGTTAGGTTTAAAATGAGGTTGAATCTGTACTCTCTATAGACCTGGAGATACTCACTCTCTACACTCTTCAGGAGAGAATTGTCTAATAAAGGAAATTAAGTACTTTCTCATAGAAAGACCAGGTGCATTGAATTTATATATACAGTGTGTACCAGTTAACATGATAATGCAGAGAAGAGTTAAATATTGTCTTTATCTTTGACATGTAAATATCATGTGCATAATTCTAGCCCGCAATTGAGGGAGGGAGGGAGGCGTGGGGGTAGTATTTGCGCCAACATAGGTGAGCAATTTTGGATAATTATAATTTTTGTGTAAATCTAGTACATTAGGAGAGAAAGGTGATTTATTTGGTGTTCTTTCCTGTTTCTCCGTCTATAGTTCGTATGTAATTCTGGCCAATTAACTTAACTGCATAAACGTGAGTTCTGTACTTCAAATCTTTCATTCATATTTCATATTAGGGTCCGTCCTAGAGAACGATTTCTGGACCCCCCCCCCCCCCTTTCAATTTTGTACATGACCACTTTTTCAACATTTTTCGACATTATAAGTATTTATTTAGGGTTAGGTTAGATTAAGACACTTTCTGGGCCGAGCGCTGCGGCTAGGACAGGCTAGGGACCAAGCGCCGCGGCTAGGACAGGCTAGGGGGCCAGGCGCTGTGGCCACATGGTCAATTATATCCATGTCTTACGTATAAGATCCTTAGGGACATAAGTGGTTGGCCCTAAGTTAGTTAGCGATATAACGCATATAGTTGGTTGCACACATCAAATTATGTTTTTGGATAGGCAAGGTCAGGTGATCTGTGGCAGGGTGAGATCAGAGGGATTAATGTAGAGATGAATTAAAATACAGGGTGTAAAGGATGGTGGATACACTAACACAAATAAAATAATAAGGTTTCAGTTTTTTTAGTTTTTTTATTTAAAATCTACTCATATTATATACATTATACAATTGGGTTTAATGATATACAACCGTTTTCAATAAAATATTAAAAATCCATGTATCGTCAATTATCCATCCATTTTTAGCATATACGAGTCATTATTTCTATAAAGAAAACTGCACATCAATTTTGATCGCTCAATTTTAAACCAAAGTAACAGAGCCTTCACAGCCCAAATATCGTAGGTAGACCACGAAATTTCAAACTATGAATTCTCTGTAACAAAACTGCACCATACATTTATTAAAAATGGCTGAAACTATATATTGAAACAAGAAATGTCAATTTTAAACTAATAATAAGGCGTGAGAATCAGTTTTTGATGATATTGGTTTTCATTTTCGAACATATTCTTATTTTGAAACAATTACCGGATTTCAGCTCATGTCGCGTTTTCGGAACATATCCTGGTTTTGAGAAAATTACCGGAATTCATATCAATGTCAATTTTCAAGCATTTACGCACTTACGTAACAAATCAAGATTTTTTGAAAAGGTAAATAGAAATTAAATAGAAAACAAAAAATATTATTCATTAATAATTTTAAAATCGAGAAATCGAAATTTAATATTATTTTGTTCTTACAATATAGATTTAATTAGAAATTATTGTTTATTTAGAATGCGGGAATTCAAATAAACTTTATTCTCTCATTTAACAAATAAAATAGGGAAATTAAGATTTTAGAAATAATTTAGCAGTTAATTTAGTCTTCACAAGATAATAATTGTTTTCAGTGATTTATTTTGTAAGCTATGAAAGTAAGTTTTGTTCTGAATTGAGGATTATACTCAAAAACGGGAAAGTGGGGGTTGTCTCGAAAACGCGACAATGTTTCAAATTCAGGATATGTTCGAAAATGAAAAACCTGACATTGTCTTGAAAACGGTCAAGGGTTTTAATATAAAAAACTCCTTTTGTAATTTTGAATCCAGAAAATAGTTTTAACTTGGGAATTGTTGTCCTCGTCATTCTTAATAAAATGTTGGTTATAGTTATAAATATCGACGTTTGCTCTCGATATGGGCTTGGATCCTAAAAACCTAATCTATCAATTTGTGCCTATTTCTAATACTCAGTATTAGAAATGGGCCAAATGTTAGTTTTTGAACTAATGTCCCCTGTATTATCGTGTTGGTTAATAGTAGGAAGCACTATATTAATATTTGATAATAAAATCACCTAAATCTGCAGAGTGGAAAATTACGATAAGATTGCTGACTCAGCAATATGAAAGTTCAATGTAAGTTCCTTAAATTCAAAGAGAATTTTACAGTCAATTTAAAAAACCTTAAAACACAAATTATAGAATAATTTCTTAGATTTAAATTTAGTCGCGTTTTCGTCTTTGATTCGCGTAGCAATCTTTAACCTTACTGAGTTATCTTTTTATACTTTTTTGATTTAAAACACATATGCCGACAAAAAAGTAAAAATAGAAAAGACGAAAAAGTTATGTTTAGAAATAAAATTACAGTCTGCACTCTTAAATCTGCGTGAACTGCAGAGGTTTCAAAACTTATGAAAAAAGTACAACTAAAAAATCTAACAACACAAAGTTACATATATTTTTATATATCACACAAACACATGCTTTACAATCCATTATTCCATATTTAAGTGCTTTTTTCAATGTTTAAATTGCAGGTTAGTAGCAAAACCATTCTCCATTTGTAAAAGATTGTCTTATATTTTTCAGGACTTTTGCAGTTTATGGATAAAAAATGAGAGAGGTAGCCTATTTAAGGGTATATGTATGATTAAAATATCTTAATTCAACCTAAACTACCTTTTCACAATTCAATTTTAAATGTTATAAAAGAATATCTTATTAATATTGAATAATGAAGAGGTTTCGTGATTTCCAATGGTTGTATCCAAATCCATTAGCTAAATGAAGAAAGGTAGGAGATGATGCTGTAAGGATGTACGTGTGTGTTTATTTATATAATGTAATAACGGTTACATTACATCACTTCCAGAGGAAAAGAAACAAATTATAACATCTGAAGAAAAACTTATTTTTATAGAATTGCATATATCTTCTGGGGTTTCCACTTGTAGTAAAATATGAGTGTTTGCTGTAACAAAGAACAAAAAGTACGAAAATCATAAAAACTTTGAATTTATTAATGGTATATTTTTTATTTATTTTTATTTTATGTAAAAAAACTTTTTTAAGAAAGAGCATTCTATGCATGGAGCGAATTTTTCTATATTAAATTTACTTTTCATTAAATCAACCTAAAGTGAAACCAAAATATAATACAGAAGTTCCTATATTAAATTGGTATAAAAGGGACCGTTCACTTATTTGG